TACATACCATACATACCATACATACCATACATACCATACATACCATACATACCATACATACCATACATACCATACATACCATACATACCATACATACCATACATAACATACATTACATACATTACATACATTACATACATTACATACATTACATACATTACATACATTACATACATTACATACATTACATACATTACATTTACATTTATTACATACATTACATACATTACATACATTACATACATTACATACATTACATACATTACATACATTACATACATTGCATACATTACATACATTACATACATTACATACATTACATACATTACATACATTACATACATTACATACATTACATACATTAATACATTACATACATTACATACATTACATACATTACATACATTACATACATTACATACATTACATACATTACATACATTACATACATTACATACCTTACATACATTACATACATTACATACATTACATACATTACATACCTTACATACCTTACATACATTACATACATTACATTACATTACATTAAATTACATTATATTACATTACATTACATTACATACATACCATACATACATACATACATACATGCATACATACATGCATACATACATCCATGCATGCATACATACATACATACATATATACATTACAAACATACAGTACATACAGTGCATACAGTACATACAGTACATACAGTACACACAGTACATACAGTACATACAGTACATACAGTACATACAGTACATACAGTACATATAATACATACAATACATACAATACATACAATACATACAATGACATACAATACATACAATACAATACAATATAATACAATACAATACAACACAATACAACACAACACAACACAATACAGTACAGTACAATACAACACAATACAATACATACACTACATACACTACATACAGTACATACAATACATACAATACAATACACAACAATACAATACAGTACAATACAATACAATACAAACATACAATACACACAATACATACAATACATACAACCCATACAATACAATACAAACATACAATCCATACAATCCATACAATACAATACAATACAATTACAATTACAATTACAATACAATACCTACAATACAATACAATACCTACAATACAATACAATACAATACAATACCTACAATACCTACAATACCTACAATACATACAATACCTACAATACATACAATACATACAATACATACAATACATATAATACATACAATACATACAATACATACAAAACATACAAAACATACAAAACATACATTAAAGGACCGGATAACCCCACAAATCAACTTCTTCCAATGATCACCAAGCAGATGTGAAAATGAAATGGGAAAGGCAGGAAGGAAAGGAGATGTGCAAGACAGGTTGGGTGAAAGAGCTGTGTGCGACAGTGTGGTGTGTGTAAGTTTGTGTATGTAAAAGTGTTGCGTGTGAAAGAGTTGTATGTGACAAAGCTGAGTGAGTAAGTTGTGTGTGAGTAAGTTGTGTGTGGACAAGTTGTGTGTGAGCAAGTTGTGTGTGGACAAGTTGTGTGTGGACAAGTTGTGTGTGAGCAAGTTGTGTGGTGACAAGTTGTGTGTGGACAAGTTGTTAGTGAGTAAGTTGTGTGTGTGTGGACAAGTTGTGCGTGGACAAGTTGTGTGTGGACAAGTCGTGTGTGTGAGTAATCCGCCGACCCCTGCCTAGCCTTGGCCTAGGCCGGGGCGGCGCCCGGGATCACCGTAGGTGTGCGACATGGCCTTCTGCCAGCTTTGGCTCCAAAGCCTCAAAACCTCCGCAGCAGCTGTCGAAGGCGTGCCGCTTGCTTGGCCATGGTACCTCCCTAGGCCCCACAGGCTGTTTCTATTGGGCTTCGAAGCTGCTATGTGGCACGTTTTGGGCAGGCCCCAAAACCCTCAAAGGCCCCACAAGCTGTTTCTATTGGGCTTCGAAACTGCCATGTGGCACGTTTTGGGCAAGCCCCAAAAGCTGTTTCTATTGGGCTTCGAAACTGCCATGTGGCACGTTTTGGGCAGGCGCCAAAACCCTCAAAACCTCCGCAGCAGCTTTCGAAGGCCTTAGAACCTCACAACCCTCCGCAGCAGCTCAGCAGCTTTCGAAGGCGTCCCGCTTGCTTGGCCATGGTACCTCCCTAGGCCCCACAAGCTGTTTCTATTGGGCTTCGAAACTGCCATGTGGCACGTTTTGGGCAGGCCCCAAAACCCTCAAACCCTCCGCAGCAGCTTTCGAAGGCCTTAGAACCTCGCAACCCTCCGCAGCAGCTCAGTAGCTTTCGAAGGCGTCCCGCTTGCTTGGCCATGGTACCTCCCTAGGCCCCACAAGCTGTTTCTATTGGGCTTCGAAACTGCCATGTGGCACGTTTTGCGCAGGCCCGAAAACCCTCAAACCCTCCGCAACAGCTTTCGAAGGCCTTAGAACCTCACAACCCTCCGCAGCAGCTTTCGAAGGCGTCCCACTTGCTTGGCCATGGTACCTCCGCAGCAGCTTTCGAAGGCCTTAGAACCTCACAACCCTCCGCAGCAGCTCAGCAGCTTTCGAAGGCGTCCCGCTTGTTGGCCATGGTACCTCCCTAGGCCCCACAAGCTGTTTCTATTGGGCTTCGAAACTGCCATGTGGCACGTTTTGGACAGGCCCGAAAACCCTCAAAACCTCCGCAGCAGCTTTCGAAGGCCTTAGAACCTCACAACCCTCCGCAGCAGCTCAGCAGCTTTCGAAGGCGTCCCGCTTGCTTGGCCATGGTACCTCCCTAGGCCCCACAAGCTGTTTCTATTGGGCTTCGAAACTGCCATGTGGCACGTTTTGGGCAGGCCCCAAAACCCTCAAAACTTCCGCAGCAGCTTTCGAAGGCCTTAGAACCTCACAACCCTCCGCAGCAGCTCAGCAGCTTTCGAAGGCGTCCCACTTGCTTGGCCATGGTACCTCCCTAGGCCCCACAAGCTGTTTCTATTGGGCTTCGAAACTACCATGTGGCCCCACAAGCTGTTTCTATTGGGCTTCGAAACTGCTATGTGGCACGTTTTGGGCAAGCCCCAAAAGCTTCAAAACCTCCGCAGCAGCTTTCGAAGGCCTTAGAACCTCACAACCCTCCGCAGCAGCTCAGCAGCTTTCGAAGGCGTCCCGCTTGCTTGGCCATGGTACCTCCCTAGGCCCCACAAGCTGTTTCTATTGGGCTTCGAAACTGCCATGTGGCACGTTTTGCGCACGCCCCAAAACCCTCAAAACCTCCGCAGCAGCTTTCGAAGGCCTTAGAACCTCACAACCCTCCGCAGCAGCTCAGCAGCTTTCGAAGGCGTCCCGCTTGCTTGGCCATGGTACCTCCCTAGGCCCCACAAGCTGTTTCTATTGGGCTTCGAAACGGCACGTTTTGGGCAGGCCCCAAAACCCTCAAAACCTCCGCAGCAGCTTTCGAAGGCCTTAGAACCTCACAACCCTCCGCAGCAGCTCAGCAGCTTTCGAAGGCGTCCCGCTTGCTTGGCCATGGTACCTCCCTAGGCCCCACAAGCTGTTTCTATTGGACCTCGAAACTGCCATGTGGCACGTTTTGGGCAGGCGCCAAAACCCTCAAACCCTCCGCAGCAGCTTTCGAAGGCCTTAGAACCTCGCAACCCTCCGCAGCAGCTCAGCAGCTTTCGAAGGTGTCCCACTTGCTTGGCCATGGTACCTCCCTAGGCCCCACAAGCTGTTTCTATTGGGCTTCGAAATTACCATGTGGCCCCACAAGCTGTTTCTATTGGGCTTCGAAACTGCCATGTGGCACGTTTTGGGCAGGCCCCAAAACCCTCAAAACCTCCGCAGCAGCTTTCGAACGTTTGTGGCAATCATACACCAATAGTTGGGCAATTTATATCCCTCTCTTTGTTGTAAAATACCCCCTTTACAAGGCTATATATACCCCTTTTGAGTGGTTCAATAAACCGCGATGCAAAAGCACTCGCTGAAAAATGCGCTTGATTCCTTGATGTTTGAATTGATCACCCCAAGAAAGCCGGGCGGAAATTCACACTAAGAAGATCTGATAAACACTGGGACATCCAACGCAATCCAGAAAAATGCTGTAAGATCCAGTGAGACCCAGGCATCTCTACAGTGTAGTTTGTGTAGTAATGTAGAAAGAGCAGTGACACAAATCAGAACACTTGACCGCTCCAAGCAGTTGCCTTGATCTCAACTTTCTTTGGCTTCGGCCTCCTCTGGTGAACTCAATGACCCGCTGCAAACATGCGCATGGAGAACAAAAGTCTCAAATGCCTATGCTGCATGCCTGACAGGTTCTTGGTGCAGATGATAAGATTGTGGCATCTTTTCCAAAATGATTAGCAGGAGACGAGGGGAGTCCCAGCAGCCATGGTGAGGATTGAAAAGATGCTACTTGCTGACAAAAACTGACAAAAACAAGCGCTGTAGCCAACCGTAATAATGTCGAATAATGTGTGATTATGTTCATATTACCAACACTGATTATTCTCATCCTGATGGTGATGATGATTATATTATCGCGGATGAGGACGAAGAGAAGGAGAGGAGAAGGAAGAGGAAGGAAGATGAAAGTGCCTCTGCTGCTGGTGCCACAGCGGTGGTGACGGCAATGACATCCATCCTTTCCCCCTGTTACTAAACCAACCCAATATATTGAAAACTTGGGTCCATTCTAAATTTTGGGAAATCTTATATAGGTTCGTCAATTTGATTCTTAATTGATCCTGTGGATGTGTGAACGTGAAACACTCCAGCTTCATTGTACCTAGCAGTGATGTGTAGAAGGGTGAGCTTGATTCTTATAAGCATGGCCCCTGCACTGAGGATGACACGGACATGGCTGAAAGCTTCGCTACTTATGGCTCAAGATTATGGCTCAAGGAAAAAGCTGCTGCAGTTTTTCGGGTGCTGCAGTAAGTTGCCACTCATAACCCCAAAGGTTACGAGCCCAAAGCGCTCTGCTGCTTAGCCATGTCATTGATGCAGCGTCGACGCTCAGGCATGATGGAAGGTGAGACTGCAGATAAGCCTTGGACCGGAGGATCGCTGAGGTTCAACTGGAAAGAGAAGGACAGAGGGCCTTGTCTGAGCCGAGGAGAATCGATGGTGGTATCCGGAGGTTGGAGTTGACTGCAGGTCAAAGTGGTGGAGATCAGGGCCAAGATGAGGTGGCACGACCAACAGGGTTGCCACAAGCCTTTGCGCCTGGTGCTCAACAGCAGATGGTGGTTGCTCAGCAGACGACTGGACCTTTGCCAGGTGGTGGTCAGGGACGTGCTGCAGCTATGGTGGCTGGCCAGTTCCTATGGGGAGCTGCTCAAGGAGCAGGCCTTGGGTGATGCACTTTGTCCTGGAGCTCAAGGTCATCCTGGTGTACCTCAGGGCGGTCCTTCTGGTCTACTTCCTCTACAAGGTCCTCCTGCTGGACATCCTCAAGGCAGCGATCAGGGAGTCGGTGAGCAAAATGGTGGCCGACCTAGGGGATGGCATTCTGGTAGTCTGTTGGGGCCATTGGCGGAGCCGCTGCCGCCATTGGTGGCGTTTCATCTGCTGCAGGACCAGCTTCAGATGGAATCTGCCGCAGTTCCACACCAGCCTGTGCCACAGCCTCAGGGAAACCCCCTGCTATACAAGACCAAGGTGGGATGACAGGTCCTGCCACACAACCAGGGGCAGGAATGGGAAACCAAGTGATGATGGTTCAGGCCAATCAACCAGGACCAGGAATGGGAAACCGGATGATGGTGACCCCGGTCCGCGAACTAAGGGATCCATTGGCAGTGCCCATGGTGAGCCCGGTTCCCATGCAGGCATTGGCCACAGGGATGAGCTCAGCCCCTGCTGGATGTGATCCAACATGAGGAAACCAAGTGATGATGGACCCAGCTGCACGAGCAGTGGAGGAGATGAGATCAGACAGAGGGTGATGCGGGAGGCAGAAGAGGCTTTTGCCAGAGAAGTGAGAAGGCTTCAGGGGCCAACCGAAGAGACCCAATCATACCAGTCAGCTTCCAGTGGAGCTGGAGTTGGTGTCGGAATTGGACAGACCATGGGTGTTCCTCAACCTATGGGAGGAGGCCGTAACAGGCCCCCTCGTGGAATGGGAGGCATGCCGTCTCCGCCACCTGGGATAGCTGTTCCTGCGCAAGCGGGATCAGCTTTGACAGAAGCTTTGCGAACCTTGGAACTACCCAAGCTCCCTGCTCCTGGGGGAGAAGGGGCATCTCTCCAATTCGGAGACTGGCTCACAGTAGTGTATCCACTGATGAGCGATGTGTCAGGATCTGCCAGCGAATGGTGGGGATCAATGGCCCAAGCCGTGGAGAACCATTATTCGCAGTGGTTGACTGTCAACACCACCTGTGCACTTGGAAGCGAATCCACGACTGGAACAGCGAGCAGTCACAATGCTCTTGGGTGCGTTGCCGGAGTCCTTGAGACAGGACATCATAGCCTCAAGGCGATTGACGACCACAGGCATCCTGTTTCGTTTATACACGTCCTACCAGCCAGGTGGTTTGGGTGAACGGACAGGATTGATCCGGTCCATCAGCGAGGTGAAGGTGCCTGCTGGTCTGGTGGAGTTGTTGGGGTCAGTCCGGCAGTGGCGCAGATCTCTATAGGAAGGGTCAGGTGAGTTGCGTGTGACGATCGATCCTCTGGTGCTGACAAGTGTTCTGTCAAAGTTCGCGGATGGGGCTGCGAAACTGGGTGGAAGCCAAGTGGCTTTCCGACTGGCATCCATGCGCCAACAGCTGGATGTGGATCGAGCTCCTAGTTGGGAACCAGTGAATGACTGGGCAGAATATATCCAAGCTGAGTTGGAAGAACTTGCCAATGCCCAAATTGCTGGATAGGCGACGCCGTCGAATCCGCCAGCGTTGGCACCTGTGCTGACGCAGGGGAATCCGGCTGTCAAGGCCTTATCCGGTGATGGGCAGAAGCCTTGGGAAGGGAATGATGGGCAGAAGCCCTGGGAAAGACAGGATGGTGATAAAGCACCATGCCACTTTTGGGGCACCGAGGAAGGGTGTCGTGAGAAGCGCACGTATGCACATTCCTGGGGATCACTGGAGAAATCCTCAAGGCGCTTGCTCTTCTCATCCACGAAGCATCGGAAGAAGGGTTGTCCAACTGTTAAACCCAAGGAGGGGAATGGCGGTGCTCAAAAGGGCAACCGGAAGGTTGCCAAGATCCAAGATAAGAAGGGCCAAAAGGGCTTGGAAAAGGCAGGCCAAAAGGAGACACCTTCGCCTGCGAAGGAGGCAGCGGAGGACTTGGTGCAGAACCTCAGTGGTCTTGTGAAATCCATGACATCGATCAAGTCGTTGTTCATCAAGACGGTGAAAGCAGATGGGGATGACAGCGGTGAGTATGCACTGCTTGACGGTGGAGCCAAGCATGCTCTGAGGCAGGCAAAGAGCTCGGAGATTCCTCATCTCTGGCCAGTCCAAGTGGAAATGGCTATGGGCAGCGTGACACTGTACAAGTGCCCAGCGCACAACACCTTGCTGGCATTGGATAGTGTGGAGCCGATCATTCCACTTCGCTTGTTGGTGGACCATGGATTCAAGATCAACTGGCAGAAAGATCGATGTGACATCTCACATCCCAAGCATGGAACCTTGGAGCGTGTGAGACGGCAGGGTTGTCCAGTGATGGATCGACAGTCCGCTTTGGATCTTCTGGAATCATTAGAGAATGGTGGCATTGGGGGCCACTATGAGCCATCTGACCATGAAATAGATTGGTGGAAGAAACGGAATCCACAGGTTCCCGAAAGGATCTGGGCATTGATGAGCGGCCAGGGTCTGAACTGGGAAGAGGTTGCCTCTACCTTGCCTTGGAACAAGGCCAAGAGACGAAGATTGGAAAGGGCTCGAGGTGGAGTGGTGGTTCACCTGTTCTCGATCGCAGCGGGCCCACCTAGCAGAACGGTGAGTCGCTTTCGCCACAGATCTCCAGGGCCCCGCCCGCTGAGGGGCAGGCGGGATCTTCGGTTCGGGTTGAAAGACCTGAATGAGCGCGAGTCGATGAGGGTGGATGGAGATTCCGCCTTGTGGCTGAAGACCTTGGGTCTTTATGAAAGATCCCAGGAAGGAATGGCCGAGAATGGGCTCTCGGGTCGATGTGGCCTTGTGGTGGAGCATCCCCAAGATCCTCAAGAGTATGTGGATGACGGGAAGGAGTATCCATCATTCTGGGAGTGGGAGGAGACGGCAGAATTCCTCCAACGCCACCGAGACATGTTCCAGATCCGAGTAGATCAGGCAGGGCTGAAACATCAGAGGCCCAAACCAACCACGTTGTCCAACATGGGACAGCTGAAGGAGCTAGATGGGATCACTTCGAATGGATCTGGAAAAGAGATTCAGTCGGATCTCACCAAGGGCACCGATCTGGGTGTCTCCAAGCGCAGAAAGGTGGAGTACGCATTGATCGCGACCATCCCAGTGCCTCAGTGGCCAACTCCAGGGGAGACAGAGATCTCGCCGGAAGACCCAAAGGTAGATCCAGCAGCTGATTCCAAGGAAGCTCCAAAGGGGGGAGACGAAGTTCATCCAGGGGAGGAACAGCCTGAAGCTGTAGTTCCATCCGTGGAAGAAGAGGAAGCGGATGAACTGCTGCTGGATCCAGAGCCGAAAGATCTGATCCCGGAAGCCGAAGCCAAGAAGCGAAATCGGGCTTGGGAGGACTTTGTGAAGAAGGAAGTCCACGAGATCCCAGGAGGTTCCTGTGGTGAACATAACCTTCACCGTCTCCGCAAGTTGTCAATGGACAACACAGCAAGCTCCGAGAGAATCGAGAAGATCATGGACATGACCTTGGAGGAACTGAGCCAAAGTCCCATCGACTTCGGCAAAGCTCACCTGGGAAAACTGTATCGCGATATGGTGAGCGACACCAAGTATCTAGCCTGGTTCGCCGAGACGTACAAGCACAGTCAGAAGATCGGCCACATCCGATTTCTCAGGTTCATCGAGCTGCACCTCAACCAGATCGAAGGGCAGATGGCCCAGGCCGGTCCCAAGAGCCGTGCCAAGGCCAAGGGGGCGCCCAAACAACAGAGTCGTCCACCTGTGGCAGATCTTCCTCACGATCCCTGGCATCCTCCCTCGGACGAAGAGGAGCTCATGGGCCAACCATGGGAGCCAGTCCGGGCACCAACGATGGAGGAGGAAAAGATTGTCATGATGCGAGAGCGCATGGGAGAGATGGAGAATGTCTCGCAGCAGATTCTGAGCCATTTGAATCCCGGTCAGCCGACTTCCAGTCGGTGATGACTAAGCATCAAGTAGCTGATCTGTGCTGCATGCTCGGGCACGGTCCTTAGGGATACCGGTGTACCGATTGCACTCGGACCGTGAAAAGTCTTTCACAACCAAAAGCATTGTCAAGTGGTGTGAATCACGGCAGATTCACCAAACCCTGAATGCCGGGGACGAACCCGAAGCCAACGGAAGGGTCGAAGGGGAAGTGCATCAGTTCAAACGCAGGCTAAGGCTGCTGCTGCGCGAGACTGGTGTCGCCCCTGCGTACTGGCCATGCGCGGCCCGACATGGTACCGAAGAAAGCTTGCGCTCTCAAATGAGAAAGCTGGGGGCCCGGGGGCCAAATGTAAGGAGATGCCGCCGTTTGCAGTGTTGGTTCAAGTGAAGGCCAAGCGCTGGCATCGGTTGCGTGAAGGAGCTCTGTCCTCTCCTTACAAGACCTTGCGTATCATGGGGCCATCGCCCTCAATGACCATTGGATGGGTGGCGCTGGATGAAGCCGCCAACCTTGTGCAGCATGAACGATCTGTGTTTGTTCCAGATCCTCTGGGCGATACTGCTCGTTTGGAGCTGGAAGCAGTCGAAGATCCCAAACATCCTCCAAGACGGCGCCTGCACGGCAAACAGCCGCCAGCCAGAGAGGTATCCAAAGTTCCGCTGCCGCCATCAAAGGTGGATCATGAATTGGAAGCTCTGCTGGATCTTCAGCCAGAGACTTGGATGAAGAGATGCCAGCTCTTCTGAAAGTGCGAGCTGGGGAGGAGTCTTTGCCGACTGGAACCCAATTCACAGGTTGGGGGGAGATCGAAACGGTGGATATCCCAGAGTATGTGCAGGAAATTCGGTTTCAGCACCTGAACCTCAGAAGATTGCTACAGGAACAGGTGAATTCTGTGGCAGGAACCGAGGCTGAAGGAACAGCACAGGGATACGTGATAGGACACGTTGCTGGCCAAGTGGAATGGCTGGAAAAGGACTTGATCCATTACTCAGTGATGGAGGAAGAAATGCAGAAATCTCAAACCTTAGCCAAGGCCGAAAGGACCAGAGAGTTCAGGATGGCAGCTTTGGCAGTACCTGATCAATCCCAAGGGGACCAAGGGCATCAGGAAGGATGCAAGCCGCCAGACGTATACGGTGCCTCTGGCGGCAGTCAAGCAGAATCTTGACGACTGGGTTCAAAGCGGAATATCACCAACTGGTGACCGAGAGCAGTGCCGTGAAGCCTGTGACTCTTCAAGAGCTGGAGAAAATGCCGGGCTACAGGGACATGGAGCTAGCACCAAGCAAGTTGGTTACCACGGTTAAATCGCCAAATGGGAAGCGCAAGGCACGGATTGTGATCTGTGGAAACCTGGTGACGAAGCTCACGAGGATGGCAACAAGATCCAAGCGACTCCAGTGCCGGCAGCAGACTTGTACGCTGGAGGAGCTGACGCAACAGCCATTCGATGCATGGTCAGAAAGACCGCCATGATGGATGGGTGGGACATGGGAGTCTTAGACATTAAGGGCGCGTTCTTGCTTGCCCCACGCCGAAGGGAGCAGGAGTGCCTGATGATGACCATCCCGCCGAAGCTGCTTGTTCAGGCTGGGATCTGTCCGCCGGACGAGCGGTGGGTGATCCAAAAGGCGGTGTACGGCTTGGAGGCCAGTCCCGCAGACTGGAGTAGCTTCCGTGATCAAAGGGTCAAGAAATTTGAGTGGAGCTCAAATGGTAGGGCGTTCTGGATGCGTCAAATGGTGGAGCCAATGTCTGGCAAATCTTGTCAAGTGAGGAGCCAGGAAGAACGGACTCGGATGAACGGGTAGAAGGTTTTTGTACCTTCTACGTAGACGATGTTTTGGTCTGTGGGCCACCGAAGGTCATCAAAGAGTGTTTGGGCAGGGTGACCCAAGAGTGGAGCTGTTCCCAAGCGGAGTATCTCTCAGAGAAGGGTATGCTATGATTCTGTGGAATGGAGTTGAAGCTGAGCCCTAAGGGCGGCATCCTCTTGTCCCAGGAATCGTACACAAGTGACCTTCTGGAGAGGTACCCGCATGTGAAAGAACCACTGGTTCCGATCGGATGGGTGGAAGATGGTGAAGAATCACCACCAGACCCCTCTGACATAAGAAAGGCGCAGACTCTCGTTGGGGAGCTCTTGTGGCTCAGCACATAAACTAGGCCTGACCTGGCGTATGCGGTGAGCTGGCTTGGGTCACGGGCATCAAAGCGTCCAAAGAAGGTGTGCCAGGCGGGAATGCAAACCCTGGGCTATCTGAAGCGCACCTTGGGGCACGGGTTGCTCTATAAGAAGTGCCAAAAGGCTGACCGAGGGCCTGATGGCAAACTGGCGTTCTGCAGGGATTCCAACACCTTAGAGGTTCATTCGGACGCGTCGTTCGGTCCGGGTGGAGAGAGATCTCACCAGGGTCTTCTTGCAGTCTGGGCTGGAGGTGCCTAGGTGATTCCGTAGCAGTTCTGGTCAACATCTTCGAGGAGGGGAGATTGACCGAAAAAGGGGTCCGAGTGTTGTATGGAGATTCCCAATCGGGAATCCAGGTGGTACTCAACCCGAATGGGCCTTGGAGATCAAGGCATCTCCGTCTTCGCTCAAGGGCGTTGCATGAAGCAGTACAACAGGAGGTATGGAAACTGAAGCACATGGCTGGTGTGGAACTTGCGGCAGATTTCCTGACGAAGCCGATCACGGTGGGAACTACATGGTCAAGATTCCGGATGTTTGCAGGGCTTTGTGACATGGCCAAGCCGGAGGACCTGGAGATCTTGAAGAAGATTGGGATCTGTAGGGAATGGGCTCTGAAAGGGCTGACTGTAGCTGTGGAGCTTGAAAAATGGCAGCCTGTTACAGAGAGCAAGCATCGAATTCGGAAGTTAGGAAGCTGCGCAGTTGCTACAGGGATTTGCCATGTTGTACAAAGATGGAAGTCTCACCTCTGTTGTCTGAAAAGAAAGGAAAGAACGCCGAGGGAATATGAACCCGGCCTAGGTAAACCACCTACTGAAAGAGGATGGCTGAGGGAAAATGAACCCAGCCCACAACCAACTAGTAAGATGCCAAGGGAAAATGAACCTGGCATTAACCCCTCAAATGGTCACCGCCAAGGTCCCACCTTTTTTGGTGATTCCGGTTTTGGGGAATCGAGTTTTGGGGATAGCGTGGCCTGCAGTTTTGCCATGTGGCAGGTTAGGCCATGTGAAGGGACCTGTTCTCTCCACAGACTTCGGGTCAAGCGACCACTGCCCTACGGGCTGCACAGGGTTCGGCTACCGGGTTCGGGCGCTAGGCGCGGGAGCCATGGATGCTGCGCCGACGGCTGCAGCAGCTGCTGGTGGTGCAGGTGGCGATGGTGGAGAAGATGGAGGAGTTCGGCCTGATAAGTCTTGGGTGGAGCCTTACAACCCACCCTGGATGATCCACCTCTAGGAGGTCCTGGGAGTAACGCACATTCATGACTACTTCCTGGCTGTGTTCTTTGTGCGGCAAACGGATCAAATTCATTTGCAATCCCCGTTTTTGAGCTCGCTCTCGGTCTATGACGAGGGGACAGAAAGAGGAGCGACCTTACTTCGGTTTGGTCACTTATGTCCTTGTCGCAGGTGTAAAGAACTTATACCGGTGCCATGCCCCAACTGGGGGCGGACTATCACTGGTTCCTTTTTACCAGTTGCTTTTGGATGATGAACTTGACCTGTTAGATCTTCGCTTTCTGTTTAGTACAGGCGAGCACTTCCGTTTCCTACATGATGACCCCGTGGTAGATTACTTGCGTACTAGCAACAGTCTCAGGCCTGCCAGCCCAGTCTGTGGGACTTTGCAGGGGAAACCCTGACGGTTGTGTTTTGTTTGTTTGGGTCGTGTTGTTTGCTGCCATCAGTTTCTCATGCGGAGTCCTTGTATAGCGGTTTGATCATTTTCCACTTTGCAGCCAGGAAGGATGTACAGTTTAGTTGTTGCATCCGCGGCACCTCCCTTCCTTCGTCCAGGGAAGGGAAACGAGGACGGCCTCCAAACGGGAACCTGGAGAGTCGTCGTGCCCTTGCCCGGTTTTTCTTAATTATGTAGGCCTGCCAGGTGATCGTCGACCGCTACGGCAACCGACGATACTACCACACCTACACAGCCTTACAACCCAAGCCAGGGCGACGAGGAGAGGAAGAAAAGAAAGAGAAAGAAAAAGAAGGCCAAGCAGGGCCACCAACCAGAGCAGAAGGACGAAGACTCCACGATGGAGACGCCAGAGGCTCGGGGCACGAAACACAACATCTGGTTTGAGGGCCAGCAGGTGGTGGCGTTACGCCACGAAGCTATGAAGGCCAGACAGTGCCAGACAGGCCAGGCAGGCAGCTCGCAAACAGTATACTGAGGGGAGCAGAGGAAACTGAGGTAGCTGCGGACCATGAGGAATGGCCGAGCTGGGAAGCGGTCCCAGTGGAAGTGTCAGACGAAGAAGCTGACCCGGGACAGGCTTTGCCTCATGAGGAGCTGGAGCTGACGGAAACCAATACAGCAGCACAGGGCGCGGTGCCAGAACCAAAGTACCCGCCAAAGGGTGTGTACAAACCGCCGCCTCCGGTGCTGAGGCCGAAGCTGAAGGCGATCCCGCCAGAGCCTACGCCAGTGCCGAAGCCAAGCTCAGTGATGGAGGACGCATCGGGTGGCGCGGCTTCTGCAACGCCGGGACCTTCGTCTACGACCGCAGAGGCTCCTTCTAGCTCCGCAACTGCACCGGTGCCCAGCCCTATGGCATCTGTTGCTACCTACTCGGTCAGAACGTTCGGCCACAGGGACAGCGAATCTGGCTACTTCGACCGTCAAGGTGATCAAATTCCTCACCGACGCATCAACCGAGAGGGTGACCTCGAAGTTTACCGTGAGGATGGCTTGGTGGAGGTCTTCCCGAACGCTGCGGCTGACCAACAAGAAGATGAAGAGGAAGAGCCGGAGGATGACGATGAAGATGGGCAGGATGACCAACCTGGAGGCGGAAACCCGCCTGGTGGTGGTGGTGGTCCTCCTGATCGAGACCCTCCTGGGGATGGAGGTGGAGCTTCAGGTCACCAAGGCCCTTCTGGAGGCGATTCATCTGATGAGAACTGGGGGTCTCAGTGGACCCAGAAAGGGAAGGTTGCACCAGAGCCAGAGGGTGAGCTGGGGGTAGCGCCCAAAAAAAAGTGCTTCGCCAGGTATGGGGACGGATCCAATGGTCAAAGCTATGGGGATGCTGAGCTCTACTACCAGACCTTGGGAGAATGTGCAGTTTGCAGCGCCACCTCCGCCTGGAGGTAAGGATCGGTGAATTGCTGATCAAGTCTTGGCTGATAACCTGGAGGTGGACCGAGTGACGATTGGCTTTGTGACCGCTGGACTGATCCGGTGAGGGATCATAAAAGAGGCCAGTGGACAGGATGGACCTTTTTCAAGGTGAAGAAGCGTGATGGGCTCAGTGCTGGGAGCGACCTTGGAGCACCACATGATCGTGGAGCGCTTCAACCTGGAGGTCCTGAACTACCTGGTGCTGAAGGAGCTCATCGAGTTTTGCTCTCCGAGTTGCAAGGTTTTGAAGACCTTGGAAGCATTGGTGCACCAAGCGCTGCAACGGCGAAGGCCTATGCTCCGCTACCAACTTCGAGGGCACCAAGGACTAAGTCAAGGTGGCAGGCTTCAGCTGTGGAAAGGGCTCAGCCGATCCTTTCTGATCTCCGACGACGAGGTGGTGGACTATCTCCTGGAGAAGAGGAACTGAGCGAGCACAGCTGGAGTGAGATCGTTAAGGAGGTTTAAGCGCTTTTGCGGCATTTTTTCAGGAGCTGCTGCGCTAGGTTTTTTTGGCCTGTTTAGGTACCTCAAAATGAGGTAGGGGGAGTGTGGATGTGTGAACATGAAACGCTCCAGCTTCATTGTACCTAGCAGTGATGTGTAGAAGGGTGAGCTTGATTCTTATAAGCATGGCCCCTGCACTGAGGATGACACGGACATGGCTGAAAGCTTCACTACTTATGGCTCAAGATTATGGCTCAAGGAAAAAGCTGCTGCAGTTTTTCGGGTGCTGCAGTAAGTTGCCACTCATAACCCCAAAGATCCCATTTAGAAATGGAATTAAAAATCAAGGTCCAATTTGAGGGCTTCACCCCCAAATAGTAAAAATTAGTTAACCCAGTGGTGTGTTTTATCAGAGTCCGTCTCTTAAAACATTTTTTTTAGATTTTTGTTTACAAAAATATTTTGAATTTAATGTTAGAGAAAGCATCGAAATCCAATGTCTGGCAATAGTGTAATTAGATTTGAACAAGGAAATCGATCGGTTTTGCAATCGAAGATTTAGGTTTTTTGTTCATAAAGGTTTTGAAATTTATATTAGGGTAAGGCTTCGACATCCAAAATGTGTTAATATTTTTTAAATAGAATGACATAAGGGATTTGATCGATTTTGACATGGAAAATGATATTTTTTTTAGTTAAGGATGTGTTTTTAGGATTAGGGAAAACTTTTCACCCTACCCTGATGCTAAATACCTCCTACTGTAGTAATTAAAACTACTCCAGGTGTTCATTATTTGAGGGTTAGTATTGGGGGAAGAGATCAGATTCCAGTTGAGCTGTTGCTGTCAATTGCTGTCCTGATGTAGCGCTGTTCGCAGAGTTCTTCGTAGAGCTTTCGCATCTGAGAAGTTCGTGACAACCCCGCAGCAAAGCTTAAACCATCTTAAACCAGTCTGCCAAAAATTCCACACTTCAAAATGCTGCAACACAAGCAATCCAAATTCTTTTTCATGTACTTCTCACGAAAACAGATGGGAATGGAGTGTATCCAAAACTGGACACTCTGAGCTGAGATACATACCGCTGCCGCATCAATTTTCTGACGCAGACCTGTCGCAAAGACTCAAACATGCAGGGAAAAAATGCAACGCAAACGCAACATCTGTGCACTCAAATTGTGAGCCACCCATCTACGAATCACTAGCCTTAGGAAACTATTGATCCAGCAGACATGGTAGACATGGTAGACAAGGTAAACCTTGGATTCTAGAAAACATACAGTGCGTCAGACCTACGTTGGGGTCAGGAGGGAAAATCCCCTCAGTCTTTTTTTTGAGATTCTGAACTCATTTCTGAACGACTGCAAATTCTGCGCACATCTCATCGCGTCTCTCCCATGGCTTAGCAAAAGGCTTAGCAGGTTCTCGATGCACAGTTCGTACGTCACCGCTCGAGAACTGCACCAACACAGACAGCTGCCTTCCACCTTTGTCAGCTCAGCTTTCCATCTTTGCAGTTCCTCTTCCTGCGCCTGCAGTGATCAGTGATGATCAGTGCAAGCCGCTGTAAACTCTGGAAAAACTCATCTGTCAACCGCAAAATGGATCAAAGTGGATCGATACAGAAGATATCCAAAGAGTGCCCAGCCAAAGAAAAATTTATATAAGATTCAAGATGAAACCAAATCAACTGCTCAAAAAAAGTTGATTTGGATATGAAAAACTTGAACCAAATCAACGCAAACATGTACACGTGACACATGAGCTGACGTGTGAATGCACACTCTGCACATCTGTCAAACAAGGTTTTATCCCTACGGGAGAAAGCTCTTGTCCGAGAGGTGCCGAAACTATAAAAGTTTGTTAAGGTTCCCGATGGTTATGTAAAGCAAAGCAGGAAATCTTGACTCAAGCAGCTCTCGATGGCCTTTAAAAGTGGCGTGCACTTCTCAATTGCTTTGGTTATCTTGCTGGCCTGGCATCGAGGTGTTCCATATTGTTTGAATGTGCTGAAACCCAAATGTTGACGATGCAAAAGCACATCAGCACCTGCGAGGGTGATCAACCACCTAAAAGCATGAAGAAATAAACATGAAAATGCGCAGAAAAGGATTGATTGAGAGGCCTGCTTGAAGCACAACTTAGCATTCTCTTTGAAGTGTTTCTTGGGATTTAGTTCCACTGTCATGGACAATGGAAGGCCATCATCACCCAATCGTGAGTAGTCTGGCGCTTCCACTTCGGTCCTCAACAACAGACAGATCAAATCTGGATTTTCATGATTTTATTATAAACTCCTATTGACTCCTATATAATATCTCCGATAAACTTGACTTGGATCCCGGAAATCCCCAAACATAAGAACGATTTATTGAGCACGGCAACCCCCAGAAACAAAGGATGCGGATAAAGTCTGTCATCCAAACAGCAAAAAAAAAAATGTTCAGGTTGTCGTTTCATCGAGAGTCCTCTTGTACTTCCATTCCACATCATAATACCCCCGAAGGTCCTTGGACACAGTTTTCCCTTATCCTCTGCACCCGCTGAAACAGTCAGTCAAGTCTCATGCCCGGATACCATTGTTGCGTCACTTGAAGCAGTGCATTGCCTCGTGATATCCACAATTCAGCCTCTGAGGGATCGCGAATTTGCCGTTGCAAACCTGAAATCCTTGGACCACGAGGGACATGAGTCAAACCCAAGAGACCCTCCAGAGGCTTGTCACAGTTTGTCTATTGTCTGATAGACCCTTTGCACTTCAACTCATGAAATGCAAGATGCAATCCATCTCAACTTGTTGAAAGGCACACAAGCAACGGCAGAACTTTGAAAACGTTACATCTGATGTTTCTAGCAGTCTAGGTGACATTGATCGATTGCTGCCAAGAAAATGGCAAGTGTACTGCGGTGAAGGTGCGTACCCTTCACGGAAGTGCAAGCTTCGTTGAGGCCAGCGATAACTTGCCTTGCCAACACAATTTTGTCACTTCCGCAACCATTTATTGCCATTTATGTTCTTCAACCAAACACACATTTTCCATAGTTCCAAAAGTATTGTTCCTTGTGAGACAAGATATAATTCGTCACGTCTTTGTTTGAACGTTGGTATGCATTGGTTTGAAGTTTGAAACGTTGCATTTTCATTTTTGATTTGATGGTGTCCCACGAGTCCCGCCAGTCTTACGAGTCCCACAAGTCCCACTGCATCCTTGGCAAGACACTCCACCAGCTCAGCTGACTCAGCTGACAGCTCCAAAACTGACTCTCTGAGTTCCACTTGGGCTCTGCTCACCTGGACCACGTCCGCGACCAGCTAATCATGACAGTGAAAGCTGAAATGATGGAATCACGGCCAAAACGTGCCACCTTGCCTTCGGGACAAATTTCGAAATTGAAATTCTTTGAGATTGCTGCAGGTTTGTCGGTCCCATTTGTGAATCAACTGCCCAGGTCAAATCAAGTCAAAGCCATGGAGTGGAAACACATGGGCATCAACGGGTATGCCAACAATACCTAACAGGTGCCACATTTTTCGGCCTGCCGAAAACGACGTAGCACATTACGTGGCTGGGCTGATTGGGGCGCCACCTGCGCAACTGGCCATCCCGCATTGGCGAACATCAGGCGACATATCAAATGAAAAAGAGAAACTGTTGATTCAGCGACGCGGATTTATTGTTTCGATTCATAATTTTCAAACCAAACATCCCCAGGAACAAAACGCATCATGTTGCCCCACAAACATGTCTGCACCTATCTATCTATGTATCGATGTCTCGATGTATCGATGTAGCTATGTGCCTGTCTATTTATTTATCTATCTACCTACCTACATATCCACCTATCTATCCATCCATCCATCCATCCATTTCTCTATCTCCATCTCTATCTCTACATCCTAACTATATTTACATGTATATTTATATCTATATCTGTATTTATATCTATATTTCTAGCTACAGTTCTATCTCTATTTTTATCTCTACTTCTATCTCTATTTCATCATATTTATGATCTCTATCTCGATCTATATCTATCAATATGTATGCATGCGAGCGTTTATTTCTGTAAATACGTTTATACACATTTACATATATATCTACATGTATTTACATACATATACATATATATACAGATATATATATATACACAAATATAAATATATATACATATATATATATATTTATATATATTTATACATATATATATATAAACATATATATATACATATATTTACATATATTTAAAAATATATACATTTACATACATATATATACATGTATATATACATATGTATATATATATATCGATCAAAATAAAGATATATACATATAAATATATTTACATATAATATATATATATACATAAATATATACATATAAATATATATACATATATATATATACATCTATATATATATATATACATATATACATAAATATACACATATATACATATATATATATATATACATACATGAGCAAAATTGTGACAAAACGTGCAATCACATTATTTTCAATCTGAATTAGGAAAACGGAAACGATTGAATTGGATTCTCATGGTCTCATCTTGGTGTTGGCACCATTGAAAACAAGATCAGCGTGCGACTGGACGATTTTTTTTTGCATCCCAGCTACCAACGCCAACACAAGCAATGGCCGAAATGGAACACATCGAGGATGCAGGCATGGAGGCCCATCGATCCTGCACAATGTTGAAAATTTAATTTTCCAAGATGTTCACATTCCGAAATTCAAGATGGACATTTTCAACTAAGGTAGCCCTAGCCTGACACAGGTGAACAGTGACATGCAATGGGTACACTGAAAGTGGAGCAAGGAACCATGATGTGGATAAATCGAGCATTGGAAAATTGCAGAAACATTTGCAATTTGCAACATACATGCCTTTTAAATTTCAAAACGGTGAAAAAGTGACAACTGGGCATCCAGTTTATCGAAGTTTTTGTTCAATTTGTTTGGCGGGCAAAAATTAACTGCAAATTTGTTTCATATTGCTGGAAATTCAAAAACTCCACCGCGTGCTCCTTTGCAAACCAAAAGTGGGGGACCATGGCACACGGCGCAAAGGCACCAACATCCCTGTCGAATCTTGTAAAAATTGGGTAAATTTGCAAAATTGTAAATATTATCAAACACCGACACAATGAAATGGCACCAGTCCCAATTCAATAACAAATCGGCCCATCACTTGCCCAAGTAAAACATGTTGCATGTTAAACCGTTACCACATCGTCGCCACCCCCGAAAATAAAACGAAGCAAATCAATGAACCATGCATCTGAGCTGCAAACGATCGCAACCAAAACCAAGACAAAATGAGGCCACCAAAACTTGAACCGTTCAGATTTTTTGGTTTTATGGCCGGCCAGCCCGCAAAAAAGGCGGCCCGGTGCGAGTTCGGCAAACAATTGTTTGATTTGCCATCCAGTGCACCACAGTTGGTGTTGTGAAAGCCATGCCAATCCAAGTGTTTATAGTATCTATTGAATTCAAAATGTTAGCCTGGTCTATTTTTGCATCTGCGTTTAAAAATTATTTCGTGTTGTTACCAATTCTATTTTGAATGTGTTTGCGTGCAATTTTCATCTCAAAAGATGCATGGTTTCGCCATGGAACTTGTGTTCATGAAAATGGAAATTTGAGTTCTTTTTGAACCCACAACACGTCAAAAACCCCACCAATTCAACTGTGCACGCATGTCGCATCAGTTGGTATCCTACAAACTGGTTTGCCACATTTTGTGTTTTCACCTTGTAAACTGCTAACTCATGGCTAAAGCGGCATGCAAACATCGAATCTAGTTACCCCGCCTTTTGAATTGTTGTCGAGACATTTTACTCGACACACTAAGTTGCAAGATTCTTGGAGTTTTACTAAAATTATGAGTCTTGGAACTGCAGGCTGCAGTGTACAACTGAACAAACTGAAACTTGCAAGGCAGCTATGATGTTGACACTCAAGTGGACTGCAATCACACCTTTTTGCGCATTTGGACTGTGGCCTGTTCTTCTCCCCACTTTTCAGCGTAGGCCAGTAGCGCAGCCCAACATTGCGACACATCCACATCGCAAGGGCAAGCACCAAGTTGTAGAACACGCTCAGCCTTCAACCGGGAAGGCCCGTCGGCCAGATTTGAATCTGTAGGAACCCTGGCGTACCAAGGGGTGAGTTGCTTCTCACACTCCAAGCCAAGCGTCGCAACAAGGATCCCTTTAGCACGCGCATTGGTTGTATGCCCTGCAATCAAAGCATCTCTGACAGTTGTTGTCACTATATATCACCACTGCATCAGAGATCACATCACCCCAAACATAGAAGGCGCAGAAAAGAGCGAAAAACTCGCACTCGAAGATAGCATTTTTTTTGCCAGTAGGATTCAAGGACTGTATCATGTCACAAGACAATTGTTTCGAGAAGAACTTCACGGGTCTATCTGTAGGGTCAAAGAGCACCGCACCGATGCCAGAAAAAGTTCCATTGGCAGCCGGTTCGTACGACGCATCAGTCTGAAGATACCACGCTGAGTTTGAGGAGGGACGAAGTTCACGAGGTCTGCTGAATTCCAAAAGCTTGACATGTAGCCGCAGAGCCATGACTGCTTTGTCATCAAGCTTGGATGCGCAACAACTATATGCATGTTGCGTCACAACTGCCGGAGCGCTCTTGCCACGCGTCCAAAGATGCTGCCTGCAGCAAACTGTAGGCGACCACGCAACTTCAACGCCTCATGGCGCGTCAGACGACGCTCTTGCAGAATTTCAAGCCAAGACTGGATGAGTTCACTGCGCCGGCTCTCTGTATTGCCAATTTTGTTGCCAAGCCTCCATGCAACGCACTGACATTCATCACAACACCCAGAGCCTAAAACATCTCAGCAAAGTCAGGCGCCTTTGCTCCGGACTCAGCAAAGTCCCAACCAACCAGTTTGAAAAACATGTGAATGCACGGGGCAACTGCGTCAGTCTCCTCGTCTGACCAAGGAGAACGAAATCGTCAAAGTAGTTGGTGGCCAGGACCAACAACTACTCCTTGACCAAGACAAACCACAAGCTAAATGAATGGATTGACCTGACAGCTCCAAACGGAAGAGCTCGCACCCAGAAGGCAAAGATCTTCTGGGAGATTGGGTGTGGAACAGCAATGCGTGCGTACCGCCTTGAGGCCGGTCTGACTGCGCACTGTCGGTACGCCCCAACCAAATCAAACGTCCAGCCTTTCCACTTGCGGCGCTCTCCAGTGGACGCCATCGCCATGACGCAAAGGGCTCCAAAGACATCCAAAGTATGAAGTTTTGGACTCTCACAAGTCTGAACGCAACTGTTGGTAGAGGACCGTGTGAAATCGTCAATGCACCTGATCTTCTGACCTTGTTGAATCCCAAACCGTTTGCTGAGCGGGTAATCGTCGGGCACATCATTCAACTTGATGGACCCCACCAAAGTGCCAGCATCAACCTCTTCCAAAGTTTTGCGCCACGCTTCATCAGCATGTGGCACGGCACCTGGTCGCTACGCTGTGCAGAACTGTGAAAGCCACAAACCCATCCTGTCAACGCATCCAACCAACTCTGAGCCCTGTTTGAACTCATCAACCTCACCCAAATCTGGATAGTCAACAGCCTGAAGCATGGCCTCCCATAGGAGGATATTATTGCCACCAAGGATTGCACCCGCTTCTGAATCCATCTCGCTCTTGAGAGGCTGCTCCTCACTGCGTAGTGAGGCAAAACGTTTCAACCAAAAACCAAGCCTGCCAGCTCTGTAGGACATGCGCTGTTGTGCATCCATGGTCTGACACTTCGCAACAGTTTCCTTCAAGACATCAGGCAAGCATGACTGTAGAGTAGCAGGGTGTCTAAACTTCACCATCTGTTGTATGAAATCGTCCTCTGACCATGGGACTCCCCAAACTTGTGTTTCACATACGCCAGTATGTTGACTTTCAGAGTCACTGCACTTCACACTTCAACATGATCCTGTCAATTTCATCCTGTGCAAGTTGCTGTCCTGACACCCACGCCCCCTGTTGCAAACACGTCGCAACACGTCGAGGGCAGCAAGGAAGGAACCACCTGGAATAGTTTGGGGCCTTAGGCAACAATGTAGGTGCATCGGTTGTCGCCACAGCGGTTGGCGTGGCCAGCTTCTGGTTCAACTCAACTGGGGGAAGGTCGGGTGGAAAGCCCGTGAGAGCAACTCGAGCTGCATACGCAGGGATCAATGGCAGCAACTTTGACGCCCAAAGTTGAAGGCCTGTCTGTGCACTCAACGCCGGCAAAACGGCATTGTCACCTGCAGAGATTTCGGAAAGAGTCTCCAGGAGCATCTGGATTCCAAGGCGCTGGAGCACTGCAACAAATTGCAAGGCTATGGTGCGTGCAAGCTTCAAGGGGTATGTTGTCTCAAGAGTTGCAAACTTTGCGCCGTCAGCAGCAAGGCCCCACTTCTCATGCTTGTGTGAAGATGTCTCGCCATTGAAAGCTGACATTGTACGCTTAGGCCTTGTGCTGCCATATCTGCAAGTTTGAAACGTGGTGAGCTGCATCAAGTGCAAAACATCTTTAATAAATGTCGTCTGCCAAAACAAAGAGAACTGAGGGTTTTCCACGCAAAATAAAGATCCTTCCTGAACCGCCCAACGAACCAGCTTAGCTGTGAGATGGTACAGTTTGTTTGCTTTTGAAATCTTCAACCTATCAAGACAACGTAGACAACGCAACCCGTTCGGGTGAGCATTGGTCCTCAGAGGCCTTGGGGCCGGACGATCTCCAGGCTGCTTGCGCCTCAAAGACTGACAGAACCACAAGGAGGCGCAAGAAAAATGCCAATCACAAAACGGTTCGAGAGCCACCGCATCAACAAATCAATGCCAAACTCCGTAGTCAAATCTGCGACGACTATCTGCGACATGGCCTGTTTGTGCCGCACACAATCTGTCCCAAACGAACTGGCCATTCCCAGTTGTTTCCGACATGCCGTGACGCGGCCAGTGCCTGCAAAAACTTCCACGACAAGACCTTCAGAAAGGCCCACACCAGCACATGCAAGAGTGCTGATGCGGCCTTCATGTCACTTCTTCTTCGCACCGTGGTCACGCTCTGGATGCGGCGCATAGCAACTGCGGCGGCAACACAAATGCCAGCCCCTTGGGCACTCACCACCATCAGGTGCTTCCGAACACTTTCCAACTTGAAAATTGAAGCATGGTCTGCGGCCATGCATGTTCATGTTGGTGTTGTCACGGCCCAAAAGAAACTTCGGCAACACTGCTTTGCCACCTTTGCTTTTTCCATTTGTGCTTGACCCACCTCCTTTTCCTTTGTAAGGGCTTGGCCTGTCACCCCAAGAACCACCTTTGCCTTTGCTGTCGTGTGTTGAGCCCTGGCTGGGAGCGGTTGGTCCACCACTCTTTGACCCCAGTTGTGGAAGTGGCAGCAAATGGAAACCCACTTCATACGACTGCAATGCTGTGAGCATCATGGAGTCGAGGAGGAGAGTGTTGTCAGGTTGCCTTTTGAGATCAACGCCAACTCGAATGAGATACAAAAAGACTTGTCGATCAGCTTTCAAAATCTGCGGAAGCGTCGGCCGCATGTAATTTGGTGGCGGCTCAGCACGAAGGTGCGACGTCAATTGTTGTAGGTATCGTTCATAGCTCTCCCATGATCTCAGATCAGGAAAAGTCATGGCGACGCCTCTGCGTTTGAGGGCCTCAAAGCCTCAAAGGCCTGAAGCTCTGAACTGTGGAATTGATCTGGTATATCTGATTTTTCTTTCACCGCCAACTTCTCAGAATCCAGCAACAGCTGTTTCTTGCTCTTGCCATGGTGATCTCCCACTCGCGAGACGTGCAACGCTCCAGCTGCACAACTGTCAACTGATTGGCCTTCTTCTGCTGTGTCATCGCTTCCAACAGCTCATGTGATGGCTCCAACTGTCTTTCAACAACAACTCCCATCAGGCGATTGCGCACCTGAGCCATTCGATGTTCACGCTCCACTGCAGGTGTGTAGAAATCGTCACCTTAACTGCACTCATGAACGATCTTTGTCTTGTCATTCCGGGCCACAATGTTGTC